CGTCCTTCACGTCCTGCGCGCCCTGCACCAAGGGAAGGCCCAGCAGTGCCAGGGGATGCTGCAGCCGGGTCGCACCCACGGCTGCATTTCCTGCACAATGCAGTCTCCTTTCCCGCGGGGAGCGCGGCGCTCCCGTGCGAGCACAGTGAGCTCTGGGAGCTGTGCGAGCGCCGTGCAAACCAGAGACGCTGGGCTGGGCACAGGGACAGCCTCGGGAGCCTCGGAGCGTTCCCAGTTCGGAGGCGGGAGCAGGAGAAGGGACCCGGCGAGCGGCCCGGGGCGCGGGATGGGAGCCCGCGGGTGCCGGGCGCGGTGCGGGGCGCCGGGAGCCCGGCTCGGGCACGGCCGGACCAGCGGCGCTCGTCCCCGGGCCGGCCGCGGCTGCTGCGCTGACCGCGGAGCCTCCCGGCCCCGGCCCGGGAGGAGACCGAGTGTGGCGCCGAGGGGGCCCGCAGCGGGCCTGGGGCAGGGCAGGGCAGCGGGGACCCAGCCCCTCGGGGGCACCCCCGGCTCCTCCTCCCCTCCCGGGAGCCGCAGCTCCCAGGGCTGGATCCGCCTTTGAAAGAGAACGCATCCCCCGAGCTTCTGCTGCTCCCCTCGAGCTGGGGAAGACCCACGTGTGGGACAGGGAGATCTGCTTCCCCCACTTCCTTTGTATGGCCCAGCAAAAAAAATGCGGCCTGATTCAGACCAGCGGCCAGGCGGCCCGGGAGGTTTCGGTGTGTTGCCTGAAACGAAACAAAGTTGGGATCCCGTTGTTCACTTCTGCCTGGAAAGTCCCATTCCTCATCTGAAATAGTCACAGTCCTCATCTGAAAACTTCTGTGTGTCTGGCTGAGGACACACAGCCCCCAGGAGAGCTCAAACCTGTGCTTTCCTTGGGACTTTCCCCTGGAAAACTTCTTTGCGGTGTTGTTTTGAAACGTGTTGTTGTAGGAAACATTTGCATTCTACATTTTTTAAGTAATTTTTAAGTTCTGTGTGTAATGGAAAACCCCTGGGTGCTGTCAGGAAGAGGCACATCAACAGCAAGGATGGAGCTCCAGCCAGTCCTTGGGGCATCCACAAGCCTGGGCTCCCTCTGGGACTGGGACAGGAGCCAAGGAGCTGTGGCAGGGGAGCAGAATTATCACAGGCTCAGCTCCAGGAAATTTCTTAGAGGCACTTCCACTAAATTAAAAAAAAAAAAAATAATAAATGTTTAAAAAAAGTTTTTTACAAAGGGAAAATGGACTTCATTTTCTATCCCCATTAAAGGATATATGAAGCTGAGTATAGTAAATGGTGTTTAAAAGGAAGCAGCATCCAAATTATTAAAATTGCACTTGGATTTTCTGTAAATACTGGATATTATTCAACTGTAATCATCATTCAATACTCCAAAGATTGACACAATTATAATTAATACTTAGATGGGAAGTAATTATATGGTTCTTACTGTTATATAAATTATACCATTACTGAGAAATATGCACACGATGAGATATAAGGTAAGCACGCATTTTTTGCTAAGAAGATGACAGTAAATATGTATTTTGCTAAAATGTGACAATTCTTTTGCAGTTCATCAAGATTTTCAATATTCTCAGTATACTATACCCAAAAGAACAAAAAACTCACCATTTTGCATTGTAGGCAGGCATTGCTAGAAGGTAAAGGCTTATCTCACAATTGTGTTTTTACCAGAGAGAACTGCTCTTATCTATAAAGTGTTCATTTAAACAGTTTTGTGGTAAGCAAAGCACCCTGCAATGAGAGGAACGACTCTCTACCCCAGCTCTGAGGGGGCAGAGATGCCCAGAAGTGCCCCAGTCAGGTTTACTGGCAGGGGAGCCAGCAGAGAGGGAAGCAGAGGGTGGCTGTGCAGAATGGGACTGGCTCTCAGGGCTGGCTCCTGCAGAGCTGCTGTGCCCTGGAGCAGCAGGGCCAGGCTCTGGGCCTCGGGCTGCTGCCGGGGGAATCTAATGAACCCGCAGTAGAAGGGAAATGTGATTTTTTTCCCCTGAAAGTGAGGCTCTTCCAAGTAACATGACCAAGCTGCAGGCTCTTCTGCAGACAGGCACAGAGTGCTTTTCACACATGGCAGACAAGTCCCTGCCTGTTACTGATGCTCAGTTTCTCTGCATGGTGGGAAACCCTCTGGTTTGACTTTTAACCTATTTAACAGGGATTTCCTGCCCTTTCACCAACTCTGTATCTGTGTTTTACAAAACAAGCTGACTTTGAGTAGATGATAATGGGAGATTTACATATTACCTCATGTTAGCAATGCATTGGTAAAATTGTAAAAACTAATCCAAATCTTTCTTTCTTCCTTCAGTAACAGTGAAGTGTCCCTGACGCTGTGGTCTGGGTTTGGCAGCATTCCTTAGAAACCTCTGCCTGCTCCCTCTGGTGGTGTGGAATAAACGCCATAAAATTCTCTCATCCTGTTATCACAGAATAATCCAAATAATCCCAGCTGCTGTCACATGGATATGGGAGCCAACCAAAACATCCACATCCACACTGTAGCATTTTTCTGAGTTACCACTGAATACTTGGGTTTTGTGATTCATAACAAACATATATAATTTAAAAACAAACTGTGAATTGGAGGCAGAGTGTGCTTCCTTCTGTGATATCTTACCACCATCACTTGCAGGAGTGGTTTAGCATTTTCTGCTCTTGTTAAGCTTTTTAACTGAGTGATATCCAACAAAGCTGGAAGGGGGGGAGTTCATAAATCCAAACAGACAGCACTAGAAAGGAAAAAATTAGCTGCAAAACTCTACAGAGGGTTTGCAGCTGTGAAGCTGCTCCAACAGCTTCCAATGCTGCTACTGCAAGTGTTGAAATTCCTTGTAATGATTCAGTAAGAACATGCTTTCATTTCTTGAAAATATTGCAGATCTTGGGTAAATCTCAGCAAAGTTGGCAGAGTGATGTTGCTCTTGAGAAATTCATCTCCTGCTATCAGATATTATCCTAAACCCTTGAATAATTCTAATACCAGTGCTAAAACCCAGGTTTAACACAGGCCTTTGCTTTATTACATGGGTAAAATCAGAAAGAAAACTGGACATGCTGTTTCTTGCTACATGATAACAACCCTTGTATTTCTGTAGTCATCTCTTCTGCTTCAATTTTTAGTATACTGATCTTGTACAGAACTTTTAGTAAAGAACACACATGTGCTTGGATTGGCTTCTGTGCTTTTTATTTTATGTCTCTGGGATCAGCCATGACTGAGCAACTGCTGAAGAAGCAACTCTGTGCTTCAGTCACTCACATTTGGATTGTACCTTTGTCAGAGGCCACAGGAGTAAGCACTGGAGCAGTCAGGTCCCCTCCTGCTCTGGAGGACAAGTCAGTGTCCAAGCTCGAGAAGAGCAGGACACTGAAAATGGCAACGTATCACCAAGGGAAAAGATGAAAAGCCAGGAAATAATATGCCAATCATCTCAGAAATATTCAAATAGATCATTTTTTAGCAGAGCAAGGTGAGTAAAGATACATTTCCTGAATGGAAACTACATCCAACTGATCTAAATGGTCTTGGTACAGTCTGACAAATTATTCCCTCCTTAAACTACAGAAATAATTTCTATGTGAAATTATGACTATAGACTTCTGTGAATTAAAATAATAATCATCATATGAGATAACATTTCTCAGTTTGTAAAGTCACACAGGTGCACCAACATCATGGTGGCCACAGGTAGTGACTTGAAAATTTGGATACCAAAAGTCAAGGTTAGAAATACACCTGGATCACAGGTGTGTTTTCCAGCTGCTCCATTTAACCTAGATGCAGGGCACTTGTCACCCCAACAGCAGATACAAACCTCTTCCAGCTAGAGACATTACCACCAAAGAGCCAGCACAGAAGCTATACCATTTGTGACCATTGAGAGCTGATACCTCTGTTAAAATGTACAAATAGTGCAAACTATTGATGACCAGGGAGCTTTTGGTGGGTTACCAGCAGCTCCTTGCTTTGTGCAAACCAAGTTAAAGTACAGAAGCACCACCCTGCAGTGTGAGAATTGGCGCTGTGCA